AATGAAATATAGTGTAAATGGAATAATTATTTTGGTCATCTTTGAGGATCTAAGAGAGAAGGTTGAAAGAGAAGGTTGAAAGGAGAAGGTTGCTAGCATTCCTCTTATGTTTTTGGGCAACTGTGGAGTTCAATCTTTATTGGTATCCTTGAACTCGGCAAACTTTAAAATCCCAAAATGCCCACAAAGTCACCTTTCCCATTTCTACAAGTGCCATGTCCAAAATGGTAAAAGCTGACCACTTCTTTGGGTAATTGGGTGGGTGAAAAATTTTAATTTAAAATTGTAAAAGATGGTCGGGGTGAGAGAGGCTCGAACTCTCGACCTCAGGATAACTCAGAAGCTATGAGACCTACGCGCTAGCCAACTGCGCCACCACCCCGGTGTTGATAATTACCTTGACTTTTTACTAATTAGTAAACAAACTATTAGTATATTAATGTAGGATGTGTACACAATCCTTTGATTTTGATAAAATTTGAAGTTGGTTTTGATTTTGAGGTCAGCTGTACATTTGAACTGATTTTCTCTTTTGGCAACTCCTCTATAAATTTCTCTCAGATTGCCAAGGCAATAACAGCATCACCGTCCTTTTCATATATGAGTTGAGTTTACAGAGGAAGGTGCAATTAGCAAAGTCCAGCTTCTACTTTGGCAGCTCCCCTATTAATTTCTATCAGATTTGAGAACCATGCAGTTATAATTCCCCATACAACTGATTTTGTTCCGTGGCGTCACCACGAAAGAGGGACACTTTTCATTTATTTATTGGGAAAATGAAGACTATAGTAGATCAAGGTTACGTACTTGTTAGTTGCTGGACTGCTCCAGGAAGTGAAGCATCCCATAATGAACAAGACCATCCCATGCCTGAATGCTGTGGATGGATCATCCGGCAACACCAGCAACAAAACAGCTGCTAGTGGAATGGATGAACCGGAGCTTATCAGCGAAAAAACTATCCTCCCAGCATCGGGAAAGCGTTTTGCAAGATAATCCCCCATTTTTCCTCCAAAGAGACCTCCAAGTTAGCAAGCAATTATAAAAAACATTGTCCAAATTAGATAACTATGTGTTGAATTATAATCTGGCAAGTCAAGTGAATTTACTACCTGTATTTTACCATACCGCTTTAAAAGTTTGTTCTGCAATGTTAACTTGACAAGTTTCTTTGACTTAGTTTCAGTGTTCTACTTCTGTTTGCTCTTGTTCAGCTACCCTGTTATGCTTTGATATAGCACTTGCTATGTTATTGTATCAAGAATGTGCTGCATTGATTTGATACCAATGTGCTCATAAAAATTGATTTTATGGTTCAAAAATTGACTCCTTGTTTCGCTTTAGGTCTTGAATGTCCAGACTTAGCTATTTACTTTTGAAATATGATTCTTTTTTATCAATTTACTTACATAGGAATATCTTTCGCTACGCAAAATACAGAGGACCTAAGTTAAGTGTACAATATTAGCAACAGAATATTAAAATACTAATTTGAAGTAACAGAATATTAGCAGACTCTTGCACTGTTATTTGATTATGTCCATGAGAAGGCTCAGAACCCTACTTGAACAATTAGTGAATGAACTGCACATATAATTAATTAATTACATTACAATTTCACAGAGCTAGTTTGTGTTGGTAAAAATATAAAGATAATTGCTATATTTACAGAATTTCGAAAATAAAACTTCACTATAAATTCGAAATAAATACAAGAAAATAAAGACAAGGTAAATGTTAAGAATACTTTACAAATTATCTAGTCTAGAACTTGGTTCTATCTCCTTAAGACGAAATTGCCTCATCACAGGTACTTTTAGGATTTTCTTGGCAAACATCTTCCAGGATACAATGATCGACTTCTTGTTGAAGTAGCAATACAATCCCCAAGAAAAGCGAACTCAAACTTGTGTATGAATTCTCTCTTACTAACTCACTATATTTCTAAAAATATAATGCTATGAATGCTCTAAAAACTACTATTGTTGGATGACAATTGAATGAATGAAATGTTGTAGGATCTTCTCTATTTATAGGCAACAAGGCCTCTATTCAGAAAGGATGTGACTGAAAAATATCAACAAATGTGTCTTTTCATGTTGCAACCATAAGCCAAGAAGTGCAATGTTTCATTTATTATGAAACAATGCAACTTAAGCCAAGAAGTGCAATGTTTCAATTTCTATGAAACAATGCAACTTAAAACAAGAAGTGCAATTTTCAATTTCTATGAAACAATACAACTTTTCATATATGGAACAATGCAACTTATCACATAAAGTATTATTATTTTACAAACAAAATAAATAATATTTTATTTTTCCTTGGTTAAGAACATGAATATTCCCAATGGATACATACCAAAAAATTCATGTACTTAAAGTCACGAGTCCCACAATTTAATTTCCATTCAATTATTAAAAAATTAAATATAAATGTTATAATTTTCTAACAATTCCCCACATGAATGGAAAATAGTTAGTGCAAATGTACAATGCAGACACTTGAGAGAATTCGGTTGAAAAGGCACCACATCAAGATAGGTAGCGTTTGGCCTTGAACCCTCCATAGTGAAGTAAAATCGGATTTACTAGCTAATTAGTGAACATGATGTCTTGAACTGTTCAGCCGTCATGTAAATCGAAACAATATTACTCACATAATACCTTTTCATACACATTTGGTTCTAGGTTGTGTCCTTTCGGCAATGGACCACTCCTGGTGTTCGTTAGTACTTTAGAGAATTGAGGCTTGAAATTCTCATAGAAACGGCCTCATTTTGTATTGATATAGAAACCACCTCTATAGCTTCTTAAAACCTTAATCGTTTTACTAAGTTGATTCTCAACTTCACTCTTATAATGTTTAAACATTTCTAAGGCTTCATCTTTGCTTCTGAGTAGATAGACATAGCAATATCTTGTGCAATCATCTATAAAAGTAATAAAATACTTTTTACCACCTCTAATTTGCACAAACTTTAAATCACAAATGTCACTGTGAATTAAATCTAGAGGTTCTGTACTTGTTCACCCATTTTGATTTTAATCTCGTGATGGTAGGGTAAAGTTCCCCATTAGCTTGACAACCATTGGTGGTCAGCAAGTCAACTTTCTTTTGTGTATGAGCGTGCCACTGCTAGCAATAAAAATCATAGTAGACTTCTTTAAAATGGATAACTTGCGCTCCAAGTTACTAATTTCTAAACAAGCGATTGTGAATTTGGGTGAGGAATATCTCCCAAGTAAGTTCTTTTCTTTGCCTCAGACTGGTGAGGACTTCATAATTTTTCACAATACAAAATGGGTAGTTCTGGCCAAAATAGACAAAAGAAGACAAACTGTTTTAGGCAGAACTGCCTATTACAGGACTCAAAAACAAAATGACAATTCCGAAGCAAGACAACACGATGCTGGACTTCGATTTCTGCCTCGATAACTGCCTCTGAACTGGGCAGGACTAGATGTGTCTGTGCTAGATTGGCTCGTCAACTCCTTCAACTAATGAGTTTCAACTGGAAATTAATACCAACATTTGAGTCTGACAGAGCTTTAATTTATTTCAGGCCATGGAAGGCTTGTTGAACGGGCAGAATTGAGGCCTCTTCAGTCTGGAGAGGGCAAAAGTGGCTGGATTGATGATTACTGAGCTGAAGCTGCGCTATGGTGCCTGTTCTGCTTGACCAAGGCTTTCTGTAAATTTGCTGAGGTTTTCATATTTGTAAAAACCCGAACTCTGCTTGTCTTGGCTTTGTGATGAACCAAATTTGTAACGAGAGAAGTCTCACTTTGTAAAACTATTTCCCTGAACTGAACTGGAATAAAAAACTTGAATTCTAGCTGACTTGTTTCCTGTGGCTCAATGAGCTTTGGTTGCTTCAGTGTTTGAAGGCTTTTGAGATCAATGGATCTTTTTTAGTTTGTTAATTGTGACTTAGAGAGTTTTTGTCTTGATTGATTTTTTTGGCTGTCCTTTGATCTATTCACCTCCTCTCATATTTATAGAAAATGTTAGAGTGGGGCTTCTAATCTTTTAATAATGGGTGGCAGATTTTCCAAAAAGAAAATATCTTTTTATTTTAAATGCCAAGAAAAGGGGAAGTTATCTATTCTGGCAGAGAAGAACCATCAACAGTCAATTCCCATGGTGGTCGTTTCCTTTCTTTTTATGAAAGAAATACCAACTCTCTTTGTTTCTGTTTGTTACCTGCAAAAAAGAACACAAATAGCCATGATGGTCAATTTGCTTTCTTCCTTGGCTGCAAAGATTGGAGAAGTCTTCCTATATGACCTACCTTCATTAATTCTCTATCAACTCCTCTGTGATTGTTGAATTTTTTGACTTTTTCAAAGACAGGTAGTCACATGGGGGCTTTTTGAGAAAAGATCTGCTGACGTGTCTCTTTTTTTTTTTTTTTGGGTAGAGATCAAATGGTGTGAAAAATGCTGTGTTGGTTTCTTTTAATTCTTTTGTTAGATAAAAAGAAAAGCCCAAATGTTTTGTTCATGGGCCTTATGGTCAAAAATGGGCTGGGCGTGCCAAATTAGGCCCAAACCCAAGGTAAACATTGGTGGCTGCCAAAAATTGACATGGGCCTTTTAATTTTGGGTTGGGTGTGCCAAATTAGGCCCAAACAATACTTCATTCTATAGAATGAAATGATGTTCTAGTAAGTTTAGCTTCAACACAAGTTTCACATTTTTTACTTGTATCAGTGTTAAACTTAGGTAATAAATTCATGTTAACTAATCTACGAATAGTACCATAATTAACATGTCCTAGTTTACCATGCCAAATATTTGGGGATTCAAGAATATAAGTCAAACTAACTGTGTTCTTATTATTCATAGAAGGTACAATAGTACATTCATCTTGAATAGACCATTATTCAGGTACCCTTTCCCCACATACATCCCATTCTTAATGAGTACAAATTTGTCAGCCTCAAAGACCAATCTAAAACCATTCTTGCTTAACAGCGCTCCAGGAACTAAATTCTTTCAAATGTCAGGCACATGAAGTACTTGATTTAGGGTGACTTCCTTGCTAGAAGTCATCTTCAAAACCACCTTTCCTTGTCCTTCAACCTTGGAAGCTGATGAGTTTCCCATGAATAGTTGTTCCCCTTGGTTCAGTTGTTGATAGGTAGTAAACATCTTCCTATCAGAGCAGATGTGGCGTGTAGCTCCAGTATCCACCCACCATTCCTCAGTATTGCTTACTAGGTTCACTTCATAGATTACGGACAAGAGGTTAATATCAAATATCTTATTGGACAATTTCTCCTCCTTGGTCATGTGAACTTCTGTGCTTTTTCCCTTGCTTTGACAGTTTGCCTCTCTATGACCATGCTTGTTGCAGTTAAAGCATTTGCCCTTGAACCCTTTGTTCTTCTTTGAGTTCCTTTGGCTAGAGCCTTCTCCTGAGTGTTTCCTCTTTTTCTTGTTCTTTGGCCTATCCTCCACTACATGTGCTTTAGCCACCATGGAGTTACCACCGGTTTTCTTTTCAGAGCCATGGTTGTCTTCCTCAATCCTTAGCCTCACGATTAGATCTTCAAGTCTCATCTCTTTGCGCTTATGCTTGAGATAATTCTTAAAATCTTTCCAGGATGGTGGCAATTTTTCAATGATTGCAGCCACTTGGAAAGTCTCACTTAGAACCATGTTTTCTACCTCAATCTCATGCATAATAACTTGAAGTTCTTGGACTTGATTGATGACTGTCTTGGAGTCCACCATCTTGAAATCAAGAAATCGACCAACCACGAATTTCTTCATGCCAGCATCTTCGGTCTTATATTTCTTGTCAAGTGACTCCCACAGGGCCTTGGCAGTTTTGATTGGACTGTATACATTGTACAAAGTATTGTCCAATCCATTGAGGATATAGTTCTTGCAAAGGAAGTCCGAGTGATACCATGCATCTGTAGCAGCAACCACTTCTGTAGTAGTACTAGTAGCAGGAGCATCTTCCTTCAAGAACTTGGCCAAATTGAGTGTGGTAAAATAGAACAGCATCTTTTGTTGCCACCTCTTGAAATCAGTTCCATTGAACTTCTCAGGTTTCTCTCCATGAGAGGAGGAAGCAGGGATTGCCACAGGTAAAGCATGAGCCACACCTTTTCCCTTTTCATTACTAGTACAATCACTACTAGTAACACCGGTCATTTTCCTTCAATAAAGAGGAAAGTTCACAGTTTGATTCAAAGTAAATTAACAACTTTTAAGAAACTAAAATAAATTTAAGATTCTTAAAAATACCAATAAATACAGCAATTACCAACAAAAAAAAAATTCATCTTAAGATTGTTGGTATAAAGTATAAAGATAATTGCTATCTTTACAGAATTTCAAAAATAAAACTTCACTATAAATTCAAAATAAATACAAGAAAATAACGACAAGGTAAATGTTAAGAATACTTTACAAATGATTGAGTCTAGAACTTGGTTCTATCTCCTTAAGACGAAATTGCCTCCTCACAGGTGCTTTTAGGACTTTCTTGGCAAACGTCTCCCATGATACAACGATCGACTTCTTGTTGAAGTAACACTAAAATCCCCAAGAAAATCGAACTCAAACTTGTGTATGAATTCTCTCTTACTAATTCACTATATTTCTGCTAAGAATGCTCTAAAAACTACTATTGTTGGATGACAATTGAATGAATGAAATGTTGTATGATCTTCTCTATTTATTGGCAACAAGGCCTCTGTTCAGAAAGGATGTGACTGAAAAATATCAACAAATGTGTCTTTTCATGTTGCAACCATAAGCCAAGAAGTGCAATGTTTCAATTTCTATGAAACAATGCAACTTATCACATAAAGTATTATTATTTTACAAACAAAATAAATAATATTTTATTTTTCCTTGGTTAAGAACATGACTATTCCCAATAGATACATACCAAAAAAGTCATGTACTTAAAGTCACGAGTCCCACAATTTAATTTCCATTCAATTATTAAAAAATTAAATATAAATATTATAATTTTTTAACAATTCTCCACATGAATGAAAATTAGTTCATGCAAATGTACAATGCAGACACTTGAGGGAATTCGGTTGAAAAGGCACCACATCAAGATAGGTATCTTTTGGCCTTGAACCTTCCATAGTGAAGTAAAATCGGATTTACTAGCTAATCAGTGAACATGATGTCTTGAACTGTTCAGCCGTCGTGTAAATCAAAACAATATTACTCACATAATACCTTTTCATACACATTTGGTTATAGGTTGTGTCATTTCGGCCATGGACCACTCCTGGTGTTCGTTAGTACTTTAGGGAATTGAGCCTTGCAATTCTCATAGAAAATGCCTCATTTTGTACTGATATAGGTGACTTCCTATAAAGAGTATCCTGCTATACTCCACTTGGTTTCCAAGTCACATGAATCATTAAAAGCTTAACTTAACCATACACGATGCAGGGAGCCTTGTATCATCATAGGAATAGGTAGGGGATGTAATCCCCACAATATTCGCACTTCAGTCACACATAACTTAGTTGTCCCTTTGAACCTAGGTCTTGGGATCTCTAGTCAGCTTGGTTTGGTGTCCATAATGGCAACTATTGAGATATAGGCTTTAGCCCCATTCCCCTCGATGATTTGTTAACTAGCTCTCTTGTCAAACTTTTAGTAAACGGATCCGCTAAATTCTCTCTTGACCTTATATAGTCAATAGTAATTATACCACTTGAGAGCAGTTGTCCTATGGTATTATGTCTTCGACGTATGTGTCGAGACTTACCATTATATATATTATTTTGTGCCCTTCCAACCGTCTCTTTACTATCACAATGTATACATATTGCAGGCACAGGCTTCGGCCAATTTGGAATATCTTCTAAGAAATTACGAAGCCACTCAGCTTCTTCTCCAACTTTATCCAAAGAAATAAATTCAGATTCCATAGTGGATCTAGCAATACACGTTTGTTTCGTAGATTTCCAAGATATAGCTGCAGCTCCTAACGTAAAGACATATCCACTTGTGGAGTTTGAGTCTCTCGTATCTGATATCCAGTTTGCATCACTGTAACCTTCTAGTACAGATGGATATCTTGTGTAATGCATTCCATAGTTCTTAGTATAGCTCAAATACCTAAGAACCCTAATAATATATAGCTTTCTAGTGATCTCTTCCAGGATTGCTTGTATATCTACTCAATTTATTAACTAAGTATGCTAGGTCAGGGTGAGTACAGTTTGTGACATACATCAAACTACCGATTATTCGTGCATAATCAACTTGTGATATGCCTTGACCAGTGTTCTTCGTCAATTGAAGATTCACATCATATGGAGTCTTTGCAGGATTATCTTCATACTTACCAAATTTGGCTAGTATTTTCTCAATACAATGTGATTGAGACAAGACTATTCCATCCGATGTTCTAGAGATTTTAATTCCTAGGATAACATCTGCAATTCCCATATCTTTCATATCAAATTTATTGGACAAAATTCTTTTAGTAGATTTAATCATATCATGATCGCTTCCAATGATAAGCATGTCATCTACATAAAGACATACAATGACATAACCATTTTGAGTGATTTTTGTCTAAACACATTTATCACACTCATTAATTTTGAATCCATTTGACATCATTACATTGTCAAATTTCAAATGCCATTGTTTTGGTGCTTGCTTTAAGCCATATAAAGACTTAACAAGCTTACACACTTTCTTTTCTATGAAACAATGCAACTTTTCATATATGAAATAATGCAACTTAAGCCAAGAAATGCAATGTTTCAATTTCTATGAAACAATGCAACTTTTCATATATGAAACAATGCAACTTATCACATAAAGTATTATTATTTTACAAACAAAATAAATAATATTTTATTTTTCCTTGATTAAGAACATGACTATTCCCAATGGATGCATACCAAAAAAGTCATGTACTTAAAGTCACGAGTCCCACAATTTAATTTCCATTCAATTATTAAAAAATTAAATACAAATATTATAATTTTCTAACAGTTTGATCTTCAACCACTAGCGAGAATGTGGTTCAGTAAAAGTCTCATATTCCATTACTTTGACAGAGTTACTCTTGGATCAATCTGACCTTGTTGCCCCTGAATTATATTCAGATGGTAACGGCATGTCCGATCCAATGCTGCTATGCAAATAAAATGCAGGTTGGGAGGGCACTGGGAGAGGGAGGGAGTAGCTATTCATCGTGAGAATAACAGATGCCATGGTTGGCCTGTCAGCCACATTTTCTTGCACACATAATAATCCAATGTGGATGCATCTCATTATTTCATTTCTTGAATCAGTCTTCAATGTGGGATCTATTAGATTTGAAGCTGTCCCTTCCCTCCAACTTCTCCAGGCCTGCAATGATTTATGAATTTGCAGAAATGATCAGATATATGTTTTCTTTCTTTAATTCGTTGCACTCAATTGTATTGAGATGCCAAAACTATATTATATTTTCACTTACAAAGCTTAGAAGATCCTCCTCATTGTCTCCATGCCTGAAGCAACTATTTTTTTGTCCATAGACTATCTCTAGAACTAACACACCAAAACTGTAGACATCAGACTTAACAGAAAAGTGTCCATGAAATGCATACTCTGGAGCCATATACCCACTGCATATCAACAAAAAGAATGTGAGCTTTCCCCAACACATATGGAAAGGAAATTGTTGACATAACAAACATAAGCCCACATGCAGTCAAGTGCATATTCTTACTAGGTCCCGACAATTCGACTAGTATTGCCTTGCGTTTGATCAGGCACGAACAACCTTGCCATGCCAAAATCTGAAATTTTTGGGTTCATTTCTGCATCTATCAAGATGTTACTAGCTTTGAGATCACGATGAATAATTCTAAGGCGAGAGTCTTCGTGGAGGTAAAGGAGGCCTCGAGCGGTGCCTACTATGATTTTGTAGCGCCTATACCAATCTAGTTGTGCACGCTTTGTTGGGTCTGCAAATATATTAATGCAAAATCAAGACTTCAATTAAAATGTGTAGGACTCAAACTGTTTTTTCCTCCAACCTTGCGGACTCATAATTTGAGTCTGCAACTTTATTAAATTATTAAAGAATAATATAATCCTATTTTGTTTTTGTGGTTAATTTTTTTAAAATTAATTTTTGCATATTACTTCATGATTTATTTTTTTGAACATTTTGACATAAATTTTTTGAAATTTCACAAACATAATTTTATTAACAAATTGATGGGTATTTATAGAGTTTAGGATATGTTTTGAGGTTGCATCCAACTTATAATAATATATTTACTTATTTTGACCTTTGGATTTAAATTTCAGCTGTTGGATTAATTTTTTTCCCTTTGATCCAGCCAAAATTTAATATCAGCCGTTGATTTCTAGCCTTTAAGTTTAAAAAAAAAAAATTTGAAAGGAGCCCATTTTATATGCAGCCATAGAAGTCCAATTTTTAAGTTGCCTAGGCTTTGACAAGTGGCCAGCAACTTGGGGTAGTGGGGAACAGCCCATCATTTGCTTCAAATGTGGCCTCATGTGTCTCTTGTCTTTTGCGAAATGGGCCCCACAAAAATTCTGCCTGGACTGGAATCTGAGGTGAAATTCCACCCCATTTTTCAGTCCACTCAAATTACCCCCCCTCCAAATACATGGGTTGGAGAAGGTTTTGGGCTAAAAATATCAAATTTTAGGTTTGACCTCCACATCTGTATATGAACCTAACAAAATATGCATTAGAAATCTCTTTGACCAAAATTGTTGTAGTGTGAATTATGGCAATGGTGCCTGAACTTGTATACGAGACGACTACATCAACAAAAACTTGAATTGAGAGAATCAAATGTAACACGTGTACAAATTCATGGACAATTGCCCTAATTAAGCCAACTTTATTTCTTCAAAGCATACGTACCTCCTGTACTGGTTGATGGTGGAAGAGGACTAGACAGTGGCGGCGGGGATGACGGCACCGGCACCACAGTTGTAGGGTCATAGAAGGGATTGACTTCATACCTAACAGTACAGCTGGGGTTTGAAACTCTACAACCTTGCTTCCTCTCACAATATGCTGGGATATTTCCCATAGCAGAATCCAAGCATTCACTGCAGGTCTGCTCGGCCAAATCCGGCGTGCACTGAGCAAGTCCATATATTGGTTGCAAATTGGGAGCGGTTGTTTT